CCCCGTCCCCCGAGCAGCTGCGCGGAGCGCTTTCCGAGGCTGCCTGCGGGCCGGGCCGGCTCTCGCCGCGGACCCCGCCGCTGCCCTTCGGTGGGGCGACGCGCACTCAGCGGGGAGCGTCGGCGCCTGGAGTCCGCGGGAAGAAGCGCTCCTCGGCCGGCCGCGCCGGCTCGCCGACCTTGGCGGCGGCCCGGGGACGGCTGGACCCGAGCCGGGGCTTCCGGCCGGGAGTGGGGTGAAGGGGGTCTCAGCTTTTCGGTGGGGACCGCGTGGGAGCCGTCCTGCGCCCGTGCGCTTCGCAGGTTGCCCGCCAAGCTAGGGCTGCGGGCGGTGAGGGCGAGCCTGCAGTTGCGCCAGACCTTCGTATCTCTCGCGCGTGTGGCGGGTGGAGTCCTTCTCTAAGTGTCAGAGAGGTGACCAGACCCACGAGCCCCCTCGGGAGCACCCTGCACTGCGTGGGAGTGGGGGCGCTGAGCGCTGGGGGGCTCACAGCTCAGTGGCAGCTTGTATTTTAGTCTGTCTACTTATTGCGATCATTTTGCGGTTCAGGTCGGCCTGCCGGCCGAGATGGGCCCGCGCTGTCCCGCGTTCGTGCGTGCCCGCAGTTGGGGTGAGGTCCGGGCTTACCAGCGTCCCCAGAGCTGACAGCTAGCGCAGGCCCCTTCCTTAGGAGGCGTCTGGACGCTTAGGAACTCCAGGTGATCCTCCGGGTGCTGGGATTACAGGTGCAGGCCATTTTGCCTGGCCGCTTATATTTTTCATAGCCTAGCTGGTGTTGACTGTTTAGAAGCAGCACCCCGCTCCTGTGGGCTCCTCGATGGCCCAGAGTGGCCATACAAACAGGTGGGAATTCCTGGGAAAAGTGAAAAGAGATTGCCAGCTCCAGACCGGGGGATGAGGGGGATGAGGGGTGAGGCGTTGAGTTTCACTCAACACTGCCGACTGAGGCAGCGTTTTATGGAGGGGACTAGGAAATGATCCATGAATGCTTACTAATAAACTTTAGGGCACTTGGGGTTAATTAGGCAGCCAGTTTCGGTGTGATGCTAATTATTTGTGATATTTATCGTCCCAGTGGGCACCGAGATGGTACCATTTGGGATCTTTCTGTCATTATCTTCCTCTACATTGAGATTTTATTTCCCCCTGCAGTCTCCCCAGGTGCGGAGGGTCTGCGCAGCAGCAGGGCACTTTCACACCGAAAGAGCTGGCATGAATTGTGGGGCTGGAGTGCTGAGCCCTCAGAAAATGTCCCCATGCACGTCCCATCCGTCCTGGAGCCAGAATGCCCTAGTAGGAAGGAGCAGGCTCAGGTTGTGCACTTGAACGTCACCCTGGAGACCAGGGCCCGCGTGTAGGTGGCAGGGCTCAGACAGCGTGTCTTAGCTTGCTGTCCCCCTTCCGTGTCCTCAGCACACCCTCACACTAGTGGTGTCGGCGGGTTTCTTCCCGTTTCCTGCGCTGTGCCTCCTCCCCCAGCGTCTTGGGGGGCCACTGCCACAGGAAGAGGGATTATTGCCTTGACTGTAAGGAAGCGGACTGCTCTTGGCCTTTGCCTTTTTTGTCCCGGCCAGAGTCTCTAGCATCTGTTGCTCAGGCCTGGCAGGGGCGCAGGTGGGGCTCTAGTCCAACAGGCGCTGGGGCTAAGGTCTGTGGTGTCGGTGCCAGAGCGCAGCATAGCCTGGCTCATGTGGCTCCACGGAGCTTCAGGTCTCCTGCACGTGCCAGAGCGCATCGGGTCTGAGCGAAGCGAAGGCGCGGCTCCTCTGCAAGGACACAGGACACAGGGTGGGCGGGCACACAGGTGTCTCCACCGGGGTGCACGTGCGGGTGCGGGCGCAGAGACGGCGGCTCGCGCTCAGCAGGGCTGACGTCCTCAGTGTGCTGCTGGCAGGGTGTGGGGGCAGAGTTTTGGGAGCCAGGATGAGGACTGTTTCAGAAAATTGTGTTTCCTTGACTGTGTTCTGAATTTGACTTGAGTTTCACTCAACACTGCGGACTGAGGCAGCGTTTTGTGGAGGGGACTAGGAAATGATCCATGGTGTCAACCAGGATTACCTGCAAGCTGTAGGATTATAAACTAGCTCTCCCCATATTTCTGGGAGCAGGCTCTTGCCAAGCTCAGGGGAAGTGGGGCTCCCTGCTCTGCGGTCAGTGGCCTTTGTGCCCCACGATCATGCCAGTTTAGGGGAATGTTTGGTAACCCTAGAAGCCTTCATGACCCTTTCTCAAAACTGTTTCATCTAGTTACTCTTAAAAGGCTGGCGTTGAGAGTGGACAGCACTTCAGTTTTTCCTTCTTTTCCATTTAGCAGTGCATGCTGGGTATTTCCAGGCCTCCATGGTCACAGGGCAAGGTGATGAGCAAACCTATGAGGGGCCGGGTGCCACACCTGCCTTGTGCCAGTGGCCTGGAGGACCATGGGCCGGGTATCCTGGGGTGGCCGTGTCCTCCTGCAGGCCAAGTGAGTGTTGGGAAGCATCCTGTGAGCAGTGTCCCTGGCCTCTCGGGCTTCTTCCTTTCCTGACATGCAGATAATTCTGTCCCCCACGCCGTGCATATCCCCTGTGAAAGCCAGCAGTCTGGGCCTGCACCATGCTGTGGAATGGGAGCTCTTGTGGGACCTTCCTGCAGTATCCGAGGCCACTCCGCTCTTTTACCCAAAAGCTGGGGCCTGGGCAGGGCTGGAGCTCTGCTCCTACTCGTATGAGGCACTGCAAGGCCAGGCCCACAGTGTGCTTGATGGGAGCCTGCAGTCCTGCCGCATGTGCGCCCTGGGCAGCTGAGTGGTGCTCGCAGAGATAGGAGCCTGCAGAGGTGTCAGGCAGCGTCATCAGCAGTGTGACACTATGGGGCTATGAGGCGACAGTGCGTGACGGGACGGGACCGAGGTGTCAGTAGCCATAGGAGTGGCTTTTCAGGTCCCCGTTCTCACAAGTGCTGTGCCCGTCTCACTGCCCCAGATGGGTGGCCTCTGCTGGTGCCCAAGGACCTCAGGCCCTTCTTCCTGTGCCACATGCCGTGCTGGGCTGCAGGGCCCTGGCGACGTACACAGAACTCAGTACCCACGATCCCCTCCGAGCGGCCCCAGGAGCTGCCCTGAGCTGCGTCTGCAGTGTGGGCACACGAGCCGAGGCTGCAGCCCCCCGTGGGCTGGGCCCAGTTCCTGGGCTCTCGGCTCTCGGCTCTCGGCACCAGAGTTCTTCCTTTGCTGTCCCTCCACTCCTGTCACGCACCTGTGGATGGAAAGGGGACAAATGTACATGATACATCGGTCTTTGGTTTGCCAAGAGGCAACAGAACTGGTTTTTTTTTTTTTTTTTTTTTTGGTGGTACCAGGGATTGAACTCAGGACCTTGTACTTGCCAGGCAAGAGCTTATTCTACTGAGCCATCTCCCCAGCCCCAACCTGTTTTGACTTAAAAAAGACTGTCTAGCTGGGCATGGAGGTGCACACCTATCGTCATAGCTTTTTGGGAGGCTGAGGCAGGAGGCCGTCAAGTTTGGGCCCAGCCTGGGTAACGACATCTGTCAGCACAAAAAGAATTAACTAAACAGAGCTGGAGATGTGACTCAGTGTAGAGGGCCCTGAGTTCAGTCTCTAGTACTTGGGGAAAAGGGGGGAGCACTGTAGTGAACTTTCCAGACCGGAGAGCGGTTTGGGTCGACAGTGCATAGAGCGTCGCGTGCCCAGTTTGAGCGGCCTGAGCTGTGTGCAGCGGGCGGTGTGAGGCTGGAGGGTCACGCTGTGTGCAGCGGGCGGTGTGAGGCTGGAGGGTCACGCTGTGTGCAGCGGGCCGTGTGAGGCTGGAGGGTCGCGCTGTGTGCAGCGGGCGATGTGAGGCTGGAGGGTCACGCTGTGTGCAGCAGGCGGTGTGAGGCTGGAGGGTCACGCTGGGTGCAGCGGGCCGTGTGAGGCTGGAGGGTCACGCTGTGTGCAGCGGGCTGTGTGAGGCTGGAGGGTCACGCTGTGTGCAGCGGGCGGCGTGAGGCTGGAGGCCCGGGTTACGCGTCGGGCATTTCTTCTGCCCTTGGTGCGGGTTCTGTGCTTTCACTGTGCTGTCCCGTCAGCTGGGGAGGAAGCCCCTAAGTGCCTGTGTGGCTTCGGGTAGTGGTCCCTGTACCACATGACATTGTGACTCATTTCCCCCTTGCATTGTTGAATTCTGTCCCTCAGTGTGCTCATGGGAGCCTAGAGGACCCCAAAAGTGTCACCCACCACAAACTCATCCATGCGGCTTCCGAGAGGGTGCTGAGCGACACCAAGACCATCTCGGAGGAGAACGTGCAGGACCGAGGTGAGGGCGGAGGCCTGGCTCGTGCGTGTGTGGTGTCTGTGGCCAGGTTGGTTCTGAGCGAGAAAACTGGACCGACGCTTGTTTTATTTTTCCTTTATTTAAAAAGTATGTGTTATGGAGTATTTGTGAAAAACAGCAGAGATCAAAACTGAGCAAGCAGCAGACTCCAAGAAGCCAAATGTGAGCTTTATTTTTAATTCCGCTCAAATCAAACCCAGACTCTGGAGCTTCTGCGGGTTTATTTTTGGTTTGAAACGATGGCCATGGCTGTTGTTTGCGCCTCGTAGTGAGACGTGCTACCACACACGTTGCTTCATGCTTACGGGCATTTAATACCAACTTAGCTTGGAAATCCCGGAAGCGAGGACCCTGGGCATACGGCTTGCAGACCGCACGAGGTTGTCGAGCCTGGCCCAGTGCCGTGGGAGGTGGGTGGCCCACCTTGGGGACTGGGCAGCAGCCACACCCCAGGCTGTTGGTTCCCAGCAGCCCACGAGAACAAGGGCATTTTGCCAAGATTTTCACCAGTTCTTTGTCTGGTCATCAGGACTCTGCTGGGCCACGGACTGGTGACCCATGGTCTTGTTCTTGCCACCCATAGATCAGCCAGGGCCATGTGGCGGCACAGAAATGAGGGTTCTGGATTTAGGAGGGACCCAAAGGGGGCCCTGCTTTCTGTGTTCAGGAGGGGCCCACAGCACCCTTCATGTGGCTTAGGCTGTGAGGCCGGTGCTCTTAACAGATACTGATGTGGTTTTTCCAGATGTCTTGCTGTTGATAAAGAAGCGAGCCCCTGCTCCCCTCCCTAAGATGGCCGAGGTCTCAGCAGAGGAGAAGGTGAGTTTGCAGCTTGCTTGCTGTGGGCGGGCTTTCTCCGTGTCTGGTCTCTGCCCGGCTGGCCAGAGCGCGTGGCAGTAAGTGGTTCTCTGCTGAACCAGCCCCCATCTGCCTCCAACGGGGCCCAGCCCTGAGCACTCCATGCTGTGCTGCTGTTGACTTAATCCCTCTGTGTTCTTTTGCCCCTTCTGTCCTTGTGCAACTGGACTAGGGCTGGTGCCACAGGACAGTCGGAGCAGGTGTGCAGAGCGAGGGTGACGTGGCTTTGTGCCGCTGTCTCAGAGGCCAGCTGTGCCTCTTGTCTGCTTCTCGCAAGGCGCAGTTAGGTGTCCTGGCGCCAAGGGGTGGTCTGTGGTCTTCATCTTTCTGGAAACCCAGCTGCCTTAGACACTGGGTGTTTGTGGTTCAGCCATTGCCCGAGGCACATTCCGGAGACCCCACTCCAAGGGCCTGTGCCCTGGTACAGAGCCCCCCTCACGCTTCACCCAGGGTGCTGCATTTCTTCTGCAGTTCTGAAAGGCCAGGGAGTGCATTTGCTCCGGGGAGAGCAGCCCTGCTCTTGGAGCTGGGCCGTGGCCTGAGAGCGGGTGAGCTATTTTTGGGGCTTCCTCTGGGCTATGGATGTATAAGGAGTACCCTGGGCTTGGGCCACGGTATCTTGTATCTTAAGCCACACCTGGCTGCAGCTTGGGTGGCACAGGCAGGGGGCCAGGGAGTGGCCCACGCCTGTGCTGGGAGCCTGCCCACTCCGAGAACTGCAATGATAAGGCAGTTCTCGCCTTACAGCCGGCAGGACAGCAGGGTTCTGGTGTAGCCCAGCCCGCTGCAGAGTGTGCGGGACCCAGCAGGCCCCCTGGCAGCCCTGCTCTCCTCTGCACCTGTTTGCAGAGTGAGCTCTGGAAGCTGTTAATGCATGGTTGTGATTAGTTTTTCTAAGTCAAAAGAACACGTGTACTTAAAAACTTAATAATTACAAATGTTTTAATAAAAGCAGTAGTTTCCTATCGTACCTGAATCACACTCCCTAAAGGTGACCATTCATTGGTCTTTCAACCAGTGTCTTTGGCAGCCCTCCTCCTGGTTGTGGGCTAATCCGCAGGCATTGTGCTGTCCTCCGTTGCCCCTTTAGACTGCTGCTGAGCCTGCCCTGCCTTCCTTCCTTCCTCTCTCTGAGGGTGTTGGACTGGAATGTTAGTTGAAGTTGGTCTCAGGTTCTATTGTTATTTAAACATTGTTCTCAGCCACAGGGAAAGCAGGATGAGTTTAGGAAAGCTAGGTGTGGCAGCTCTTGGGAGGCTGAGGCAGAAGGATCACAAGTTAAAGTCCTAGTGAGGTTACATAGCAAGACCTTGTTCTTAAAGAGAAACAAAGGGCTAGGGAGATGGCTCAGTAGAATAAACACTTCCCTGGCAAGCACAAGGGTCTGAGTTCAATCCCCAGTTCCACCCCAAAAAAAGAAACAAAGACACACACACACACACACACACAACACATTGCCTAGGGGTTGTGGTAGTGTGCAGGCCTCACATTCATGGTGCCCTGTGTTCTGCACCTAGCACCACACACACACATACGGATTTTCCCCCTCTGGCATTACACACACACACACACACACACACACACACACACACACACACACGTGTTTTCCCTGGCATCCAGGAACTTTGAATGTAGGGCCTTGGTGCTCAGCTATGTTTAACCATTTTTCATTTGGAGACTTAGCTAAGTTGCTGAATTACCCAGACTGATTCTCTGCCCTGACTTCCGGAGTGCCAGGCACGTAGGCCTGAGCCCCCGCTCCAGGCTTTGGTGATCTTTTTGGGCTACTCCACATTTTCAGTGTTAGTAATCGCCGTCATTTCACTTGCTCGCTCAGTGTTTCAGTGCTTGCTCTAGCTTATCGCTGGCTGTCTCATCCTCAGCACTGCTGAGAAACCCCTGGGCCACAGGCTCCTGTGTCAGGCCCCTGCTGGGTGTTCCTTGCGGTGGCTACACCCCTGCACAGTCTTATTTATTTATTTGGTACACGGTCTCACTACATGGTTTGGACTCATAGTGATCTCCTGTCTCAGCCTCCCCAGTGCTAGGATTACAGGTGTGCCCCACCACACCCGGTTTCGGTGGCTGGCACAATAGGCAGTGCCCCGGATTGAACCCAGGTCCTTGCGCTGGCCAGGCAGAGGCTTAAACCGCTGAGCTGTCTCCCCAGCCTTCGCCTCTTTCTTCTGTGCCCGGACTCTGTGGCGCTCCCTTCCACTAGCCAGTCATCTCATCACAGACTTGGTTGTAGGGCTGCACCTGCCTCTCCACTCTCCCCTCGTGTGGTTTCTTATCTGGAGTCTTGTGCGGCATCCAGGAATCAGCTGCGCTCCTTGCTGCAGGCTCAGGGTAGAAGCAGCTTCTGGACTCCTGGGCAGATAGCAGCTGCCCCCGATTCCTCCCGCCACCGGCCGGCCCGTCTCTTGCTGGTGTCAGCAGGGTCCAGCTCTCTGCCCCTGGAGGCACCTTCGTCCCTTGGTGCAGCCTTCTGTCTCTGCCGTTGGCTGTGTGGTTCCCTAGAGGTGGATCCAGGTCTTCTTGGGGTTCACCTGACTATGCCAGGGTCCCACAGTGTTTCCCTGCGCAGCCGGCTGCAGGGTGGCTGCAGGGTGGGAGGAGGGAGGTGACTGACACCTTTGGGTCCTGCTGCTGCGGCGGCATTGAATGGCGTCCGGCCTCATTCCTGGCTTAGTGGGAGCGACCTCCTTGGCCTTCTAGGCAGCGAGGTCGGGCAGTGTCGGGCTGTGGCGAGCGCGCTCGGGGCCCGCCCGGGAGCTCCCACCTGGCCTGCTCTGGCGGGACCTTCAGGTGTGGCACAGGCTGTGGTGCGTGCACACGTGGTGCTTTTCTGTGCTGGCTCGTCACACTGGGATTCGGACATTTGAGCCCGGGACGTTTTGCTGCAGGTCGTCTCTGCTCGCCCCCTCTGCCGTCTTTGCCTTTCGGTCTCTGGCTCTCAGGGCTTGGCCGCTGGGCCTGCTTCCTCCTCCGCCGTGCACCTGTGGCCCGGTGCTCATGCTGCGGGCAGGTTGTGGTGCCCTTCTGTCTCAGTTCTTCCCTGCTGCTGCTCTTCTCTTCCTGTGCCTTTCTGTCTTTTGCTGTCCCACTTTGCCCTGCTCTCCGTGGCTGGATGTCACCTGCTGGGGTACTCTGTGCCGGAGTCTGCCGATGGCTGGCTGACCTCTGGCTGTGTCTATGCTACCCAGGTAGCACAGCTCGGCCCTCTGTGGGCCGCAGGCCCCGGCTCTCGGCTCGTGGAGGAAATTGGCTTCTCTGGGAAGTGGGCACATCCCGTGCTGGCAGCCCAGAGCTCGGCCACACTGTGGCCTTTGTCCTGAGGCCCAGTCTGGAGGGCTGGCAGTGTTGAGCTCATGGCCTTAGCCTGCGGCTCCGTCCACCTCTCCATGCCACCTGAGTTTGCTGGTGTCTCTCTCCCCTGGTTCGATGTCTTCTCCATCCTTTCTGGTCGTCTCTGCCATCCTCATGCTATTGTCAGGCTTAGTGAGGCCACGTGGGGAGCAAAGACAAGCTACCATTTGGCCTCCGCCATCTGTGTGAGGCCTCGCAGGTCCTCTCAGAGGACCAGGCCGGCTTTTTGTCTCTCTGCCTGCCATGCTAACAGCATGTGGGGTCCAGTCCTGCGCACCTCACCTGGGTGCTGGCCCCAAGGCTGAGCACGGCACTCCCCGCAAATGCCCAGCTCTTCGGGGTTTGCAGCTCTCACTCGGAGGAGTGTGGCGCACGCCCTGCTGGCCGGGTTCCTGCCCCTGAGCTCACTGCAGACTCTCCCACTCCTCTGCAGAAGAAGCAGGAGCAGAAGGCTCCAGACAAGGAGGCCATTCTTCAGGCCACAGCTGACCTCCCCGCCTGCAGCGTGGACCGGGCCGCAGTGCAGACCACCATGAGAGACGTGAGTGCTACTCTACATGTGCCGGGTGGGGCCGCGTGGAAGCTGGTCGGGGGGTCCCAGGAGCCCCCCTGAGTAGCCTGGGAAGTAGGTACCATGGCTATTCTGGAGGCTGAGGCAGGAGGATCACCTGAGCAAAACCTCAAAATCAAAACAAAGTACTCTGGGAAAGTGAGGCAGGGCATTTAAAAACCCTGCTAGTTTTGTAGTGTTTCCATAAATCTAAAATTATTTTAAAACAAGAAGTCTGAAAGACACCTGGAGGCAGGGCGAAAAGCATGGCCACTTCATGGTGGACGTGTGAGTTTGCCTGGGCTTGGCTGAGCTTTTCGGTGATGTCTGGGCTCTGAAGTCACTTGGCCTGGGAAGCTCTAAGCAGCAGAAGCTCTGGCAGTGTGCGTGAGCCCGAGCAGGCTTGGCATGCTCATTCAGAGCGTGGCTGTGGCCACCTTCCGCTGCCCCGACCCAGTCAGATCTGAGTGCCGCTGTGAGCCTAGGTTGAGTTAGGCTGGCGCCTCTCCTGGGGCGTCCCCCAGTGGGTCCCGTGTGCACGGGGGCAGTGTCACTACTCTGCAGCCACCCCTGCCCAGCCCCGAGTGATGGGTGGCGAGGCTGCTCGCGGTCTCCAGGCTGGGCGTGGGGGAGCTGGGGCACAGCAGGTCTTGGAGTGTCATGCCAGCCCTTCGTTGGTGCCTCTGCTGCTTTGGGGTGGCCAGCAGTTTCCAGGTCTGCAGCCCCGGGGCTCAGCGGCTGTCGCACACGGGTGTGTCTCGCTGTGCGTGTGGATCCCCTTCTCCTGCTGTGGCGTCCCCTGATGCACGAGCTGGGCCAGCCCTGGCCTCTTCTCCCCGCCTGGCGGCTCCCGAAGGAGCGCAGTGCGGTACAGACTCAGGTTTGGGGCGCTGGCGCGGGGTGCAGGTCGGCTGGGTCGCCTCACGTTCAGCATGGCTCCTTCTTCCTGGTGTAGTTCCAGACAGAGCTCCGGAAGATCTTGGTGTCTCTCATCCAAGTAGCGCAGAAGCTGCTCGCCCTGAACCCTGACGCGGTGGAGCTGTTCCAGAAGGCCAATGGTATGGGCGGGCCGGGTGGACCAAGCAGCCTGTGTGTGCGCTCACGTGCTTGCTCACACACATTCACGTGACGCCCTTGCATACGTGCGCACGTACAGGCTCTTTCACACACGTGTGCACGCACATTCTTTCCCCGTGGCCTCGGACCCCAAGCCCACAGCCCTCTGGAAACTGGCACCATCTCTCACCACCCAGCCTGTGTGCCACGGGGGCCGTAGCTGCTTCATGCACGTGGTGAGGGCTGACAGTGGAGTCGGCGGTCTTGAGGTCACAGGTCCCACCAGGCATGTGCGGGCACAGATGGCCGACATGCCGTGGCGGAAGGGCTCCTCACACTGTCTCCCATCGCCTGCAGCTATGCTGGACGAGGATGAGGAAGACCGCGTGGACGAGGCCGCCCTGCGGCAGCTCACAGAGATGGGCTTTCCTGAGAGCAGAGCCTGCAGGGCGCTTCGGCTGAGCCAGTACGTGGGGCCTCCCTGCCTTCCACGGATGGGGGCTGGGTCGTGCTCTCCCTCCCAGCTCGGGCTGAGTCCTCTCCAGGGTGTGCGTCCCGAGGCACCTCCCAGATAAGCACTGGCAGTGCTTAGTTTAGCATCTCGAGGTGGTGTTTGTTGTGGTCTTTCCCTTTTGAGAGAGGATCTCTGTATCGTCCGGCTGGTCCCAAACTCGGGGCGCAAGTGAGTGTCCTTCCTCAGCCTCTCGCGTAGCTGGGGCTGCCGGGCCCTGGGCCTTTTCAGCCTGGCCTGTGTGCTGGCTGGCCTGCGGCTGTGCTCTTGCGCTGCTGCAGCCTGCCGGCCAGAGCGAGGCTCCCTGGGACAGGGACGCTCATGGCCATTTTGAGTCAGTGGCGCAGTTGCCCAGACTCCCAGTCAGCAGGCTTCAAGGGACTACGACCTTTGTGCTCTGGACCTGTAGAGTTTTAAAAGTTTGTGTGGTGCTGGAGCCTGAACGCACGCTGCAGCTTTGTGCACAAGGGCGAGTGCCTGTCCCAGGCCGCACCCCGGCTCTCTGGGATCCTGTGTGTAGAGTGAGAGGCCACAGTCCGTGAGGCGGCCTGTACTTGCCAGAGTCAGCCCGCGGGGGTCCTGTCACTGCTCTGGGAGAGCTGGGAAGTCTGTTGTCCCCTTCCAGCATGTCAGTGCCGCAGGCCATGGAGTGGCTGATTGAGCATGCAGAAGACCCGGCCATTGACACGCCTCTTCCAGGACAGGCTACACAGGCTGCAGCAGGCGCTGCGGCTGCAGCTGCCACCTCTGAGGCTGCAGTGAGCGCTGCTGAGGGAAACGAAGAGTGGGATGAGCTCACGGAGATCTTCAAGAGGATCCGAAGGAAAAGGGAGTTCCGGGCCGACTCTCGGGTATGCGTCTGCATCTACGCCCGTGCCCCGTGCCGCCTGTTAGGAGGCTGGCAGCGCAGGCTTGCGCGTCCCGGCTCAGGCCGCCTCATGCTCGCCCGAGTGCAGGGAGGTCATTTCCTGAGGCTCCCGAGAAGGTAGCGGATAGTGCTGCTGCTGTAGCCACAGGGCACAAGCAGCAGCGCCAGGAGCAGAGCAGTGGGCACCGGGCGGGGAGCGCAGGAGCAGCGGCAGGCCCTGTGGTGTCTGTCCGTAGCCCTTCCTCACGGCTGCCTCTCCTGGGTCCGCTTTCTTGGGCTGGGATTTGGGGTTTGGTGCCTCGTGTCCTCTGCCCTTCGGCAGTCTTGGCTGTGTCTGATCCTGTGCGCCTGCTTAAGGTGTGGTGTGAGGTTTCTTAGGGCCTCCCCTGTGGAAACCCCGTGGAGCCAGGCTGCAGGGATCTAGGCCGGAGGCCTCGAGTGTGCTTAGAGAAGGGCTGAGCGTGGTGTCTAGCCAGGGCCGGTTTTGTCTTGTACATCCTGGGTTTGTCCACTTCCGAATGCTCTGCAGGCCCTGCTGCTGCCCCCCGCTCATTTCCTGTCACTGGGGAGCTCCCCTTCTTGTGAGTTCTTCCTGCATCTAGTGTTGGAAATTTCCATGCTGTTTCAGGCTGCATTTCTAGGGCCCAGCAGGGGTCTCTTTCTCGTCTGAGGATGTGGTTCACATGTGGCAGTTTTGAGTTGCACTCTTGGTGTCCTGCAGGAGGACAGGTGGGCTTGAGCATTGCTGGTCTTGGCCCTGCCTAGTCCTGGAGGATTTGCTCGGCCATCAGTTCCTATTCTTTATTTTTTAAATGTATTAGGTACAGAGCCTCATTATGCAGCCCAGACTCCTAGTGATCCTCCTGTTTTCAGCCTCCCCAGCGCTGGGATCACAGGCGTGCAGCACCACGCCTGCTCTCGGCCTGCTCAGTGCCCCCAGGGGTGTGGCTGGTGTGGCATGTGGTGCCAGGGGTCAAACCCTAGTCCCTGTGCTTGCCTAAGCAGGTACTTAGTCCACTGAGCTGTCTCACAGGCCCTGGTTCATCCTATGAGTTAGCATATGTTTCCACTTAGAGCCTAAGTGTTAAATATTAAATATTTTTTGTGGTATTGGGGATTGAACTCAGGACCCTATGCTTGCCAGGCAGGTACTTATTCTACTGAGCTATCTCCCCAGCCCTATAGTTTGTCTTTAAAAGAGAAAATTGGAGTAAAAGCATCTTTCTTAAGTAAAAGGTGAAAGATTTATACAATCAAGAAAAGCCTGAGTCTTTCTTAAGTGACATTTCTGTCCCCATTTAAGCTGGGTGTATGTGCTTGATTTTTCTCTAACACTACACTTGGATGCCGCAGACCCAGGGTGAGCAGGACGGGTGGGTGGGCTGCTTTGAACTGCTCCTGGGGCACAGATGCCCGAGCTGGGGCCACTTGGCTGCGGCTGTCTTCAGGTCCCGCTCGCCACAGCTCGGACCCTGGAGCCTGGGCAGCTTCGGGGGCTTGGAGGTGGAAAGGTGTTGTCAATGGCCAGCGGGGTGCCGCGCGCGAGGCTGGGCTGCCACGTCTGGGCTGTGGTGCTGACCCGCTGTGTGCTTCTGCCTAGGCTGTCATCTCTCTGATGGAGATGGGCTTCGATGAGAAGGAGGTGATTGATGCCCTCAGAGTGAACAACAACCAGCAGAATGCCGCTGTGAGTACCGCACGTGCCTCTGTGTCCCTGGCTCTCGGAGTGTCAGCTGCGTTGTGTCCCATGCCCCCACACCGCTCATCATTGAAACTTCAGGGCAGAAGACTCAGCTCAGACAGCTTTGAAGACCTAGTCAGGCAGAGTGGCACACGCCTGGAGCCCAGCACCCTGGGTGGCCGAGGCAGGAAGTTCATAAATGGGAACCCAGCTGTGACAGCTCATACCGTCTCAGAATTAGAAACAAGAAGGGCCTGGGGATGTAGCTTATTTCAGTGACCCTGGGTTTAATCTCCAGTCCCCCTCACCCACTGAAAATTCGGAGAAAATTCTGGACCTTTTCTAAAACATGCCTTCTGCGTGCGAACTGTCCATGTGTGTCCTGGCTCATCTCAGATGCAGTCCTGGGCTGGCCTCGGCTGCTGCTGTCGAGCCTTGGTGGGGTCGGGTGGACTGGTGACCTCCACTGTGGACAGGGTTGAGAGCCTGAGCAGCGAATTGCATGTCCAGCCCTGCGGGGTGCACTGGCCGGGGAGCAACGCAGTCCTGCTGGGCTCCCCCCTCCCCGGGGCGCGTGGGGGTGGCAGGGCAGCACTGACACCCCATTCCGCCTGGGCATGAGGCGGTGGCCAGGCTCAGCTGCAGCGCCAGGTGTGCTAAGGTCCTCCTGTCTCTCTCAGCCTGGCTGGCTGGGCCCCGCTTGTTGTGTTGGGCTCCCTTCCTATCAGAGCAGTGCTTGGGGCCTGGCACAGGGCTTGTCTCGGTGGTGTCACCCGCAGGAGCTAACGGCTGTCCCACACTCTTGGGTTTCAGTGCGAGTGGCTGCTGGGGGACCGGAAGCCGTCCCCTGAGGAGCTGGACCAGGGCATCGACCCCAACAGCCCTCTCTTTCAGGCCATCCTGGACAACCCAGTGGTGCAGCTGGGTCTGACCAACCCCAAGACACTGCTAGGTACGTGTGCCTTTGAGATGCTGGCTTGGCTGAGGACACACAGGTGCTGGTGAGGTGGCACTGGGGCCGAGGCAGCTTCCTGCAGGTGTGTGTCTGCGAGTGGCTGGGCCTGGGAGCCCAGTCCAGCTCGGTGTACAAGCTCCCGCCGGCTCCGGTGCGCCATGCTGGTGGCTCGTGTAGGAAGCACACATGAGGAGAAGGTTGGCGTGGCTTGGGCTTAGGTGTACGGGGCTTCTCTGGTAATTGTGTATTTTTATTGTTACATATATTCTGCACACACAAAAATGCATAATGTCTGTAACTATTGTGTGTGTGTGTGTGTGCGCGCGCGCGTGTGCAGGGTTTCACTGTGCAGCTCAAACTTGTAGTGATCCTCCTGTTTTCAGCCTCCCCAGCACTGTAACTTTAATAACACAAGTAGCCACACGCGAGCTACTCAGCTTGAACAGGATGGCCACTTGTTGGTGTCCCTGTAGACTGGCTCCAGGACTCCATGTCAGAGTCTCTAGCTGCTCTGTGTGTGAGGTGGCAGGGTTTTAGCTGGTGACTAACAGGTTGTTTCCTGACCATAAGCCGTCTCTAGAGTACTTGCAATGCCTGGTGTAGGGTAGTGCTGTGTATGTTGTTACCTGGTTTTTTTTTTAAAGCTTTTATTTGGTATAGGGTTTCGCTATATAGCTCAGATTCATAGTGATCTTCCTGTCTCAGCCTCCCCAGTGCTAGGCTTACAGGTGTGCGCCTCCACACCCAGTTTTGGTGGTTGGCACAGCATGCTTCGGGTTCTGGGGCTGGCATGGCATGCGGTGCCGGGGATCGAACCCGGGTCCTTGCACTTGCCTGGCAGGCGCTTAGCCCACTGGGCTCTCTGTCCAGCCCCTGTTATCTGTTGTGTTCAGGGAATAATAAGAAGACGGCGCTCTGCAGGTGTAGTATATATGTGATTACGTTCCTGAGCAGCTCTGTTCCCAGCTGGTCGGGTGTCACGGCCCCTCTGATCCCCTGTGCGTGCCGAGCCTCCTGCCCGCTGTCCCCTGGGGTGGCTGCTGTTCCCAGGCCCTGCCCCCTCTCTGCTGCCCCTTAGAGCTGCCTGCAGGCATGGAGGCGCTTCCCCGCGGCCCTGTGCACTCTGCGCCGCTACATCGTCCAGCAGTTCACAGAGCAAATGTGCCATGGTGCGTCCTCTGCTGCCCCACGGTACCTGGGCTGTCCTCGCACGTGGCGCTGTTCACTGTCCTGTGCCGCTGTGCTTGAGATGTAGCTCAGTGCAGAGAACTTGGGTTTAATCCCCAGACCCCGCACCCACTGAAGACCTGAGAACAACTGGACCTCGTCCAGACGGCGCCGTCTGAGGACTGGTGCTGCCGCTGCTGTCCCAGGCTGTGTTGCAGGGCCCCTCCTCAGCGTGGGTAGTCGTCAGGAGGCCCTGTGCCGGCAGGCAGGACAGTGGTGAGGTGGGCGCCGTGGGCGGCCTCAGGCAGGCAGCCTCGGGCAGGCTCCTGTCAGAAGCGGATCAGACGTGCGAAGGGTCTTGTGTGACGCTTGGGCCTCTTTTCCTGGGAGATTGTTTTTTTTTTCTTTTTCTCTGTCTCTTTTTTTTGAGCCAGGCTCTTGCTCAGGGTTGCCTTGAACTTGCAGCAGTCCTCCTGAGCGCTGGGGCTATAGGCACAGCTACTTTGCTACTTCGCTGCTCGCTGCCTTCTGCCGCCATGAAGTGTTGCCCCCTGCACCGCCCCTCGGAAACTCCAGCCCGCCTGGGAGCCAGCCAGCGAGCGGCTGAAGCCTCCATAAAGCATGAGCCCAGTAAACCTTTCCACCGTCAAGTTTTGGTTCTTTTCTCATTTGTTCAGAAAGTTCTCGTCCCCAACAAGAGTGACCCTCCACCAGTTGCGCGTCCTGCAAATGTTATTGCTGGGTTGGTGGCTTCGTGCGGCTTGCTGCGGTGAACAGGAGGCCTGTGTTTTGGCGAACTGGGGTGTATCTGGAGTGCTGCTTTTGTGTTAGGAACCTTTGGCAGAAAACCTGCATTTGAGGCCGTCTTTAGTGAGTTCCTGTCATTCCCAGTGCCCTTTCCTACCGAGAACGAGCCCCTCAGTCTTCGCTTATGCTGCAGTCCTGGGGGATCAGTGTGTGCCGGCCAGGCTCTGCATGGGCCAGCCCTCTACCCCTGCCGTAGTTTCCTTGTTTCTGAAATAAAATACCCAACACCAAAACTTGACGGTGGAAAGGTTTATTGGGCTCACCGTTGATGGAGGCTTCAGCCGCTCGCTGGCTGGCTCCCAGGCGGGCTGGTGTTTCCGAGGGGCGGTGCAGGGGGAAACACTTCATGGCGGCAGAAGGCAGCGAAGTAGCAAAATAGCCACAAGCAGTAACAAAAGCAGCCCTCTTTCTGTCCCTTACCTTGTGTCTGACTTCCTGCCCTTAGGCTGGTAGCACCCACCCCATGTGGGATGCCTTTAATCCTAGCCCTGTGCCAAGAACCGGTCTTAGCATCACATATTCCAGGTCCAGCCTGAAAAGCCGCACCTGTGACTGCGTGAGGCCTGTGGGGGCACCTAGACACGAGCCAGCACACTCTGCCCCTGGCCTCCCTGAGGCTCGTGCACGCCCCCTTGCACAGGCAGCGCTGTTAGTCCATGTCTAAGAGTTGCCAGGGCCTAACAGCCTTTGGTATTGCTGCAAAGCCCAAGTCCAAAGTCTCCCTTGAGATTTAAGGCAGACTCTTGGCTGTGAGTCCCCGTGTAAATAGAAAGAAAGTTAAGGGTCTAACATAACAGTGACACAGGATAAGCAATTCCGTTCCAAAAGGTACAAATGGGAGGATAGAAAGAAACAGGACCAAAGCAAGTCCAAAATCCAGCAGGGTAAGCATTAGGTCCTGGGGCTCTCCTGTGTCACTGCTGGTGGCTTTAGCTCCCGCCACTTTTCTCTTGGGCCGGCTCTGCTCCCTCCTTGCAGTTCTCCTCAGATGGTCCACATCCCTGGCGTCTCCAGCCTGCTGGGGTCTCCTCTGCATCTGTGCTCACACTCACAGCTTCACGGACTCCCCTCTCAGGAGCACACTGCCTGGCCTCCTAGGTCTCCTGAATCTGGGTGGAAGCCCTGCTGACCCCACAGCTGGGATTCTGCATGCCCCTAAAAGCAGCACTGTGTGGAGGATGCCCAGGTCTGCCGCCACTGGAGCAGGAGCCAGCCTTCCTTCCCTCTTGGCTCCAGGGGTCGAGTGCCCGGATCACTGAGAACTCTGAACCCAGCCTGAGGAACGGATCCGGGGCCACTGCCGCTCCGGAGCATGGTGCTGAGGCTTTCTTTTCTTCTACCTTTGCAACTTTGAGTCTGTAAGGGGTGGAGTTCTGCTTCTTGTGATGCCCCCAGACCACATTTTCTACTGTCCTGCTCCTTAGAAACTAAGATCTCTGATCTAGCGCTGCAGTCCCCTGCTCTACAGGAGCTTCCTTTCCGGCCAGATTCCCATTTTAGATCATTCTGCTGGGCTCTTTGCTTTTGACTCTTAGCATAGATCTGCGTAAAAGCACCTAAGAGTGTTGCCTTGAAATTTCTTTTGCAAGATTAGTCTTTGAAGGATTTTTTTTCTTTCTTATTTTTTGGCTGCCTCAGGGTGATTTAAAGGCAGGTCTGGAAAGGCATGAGGATCTGGGGATCGACCCAGAATGTCCTGAGTCTGACTGCCTTTGCTTAAGCAGGCACTTAAGCAACTGAGCTAATGGGCTGGCTCCAAGACTAGTCTTTGATTCTTAATCTCAGTCTCAGGCAGAGTCCCTGGACAAGCACAGAATGCAGACGCTTTGTGCCAAAGCATGCCACACGCTGTGTGGAGCCCGGCAGCCCATGCAGCCCTTCAGCAGAATCCTGGGCCGGGCCTTCCCCGGCGGCCGGTTTTCTTTCTGCCCGCTCCCCGTTGCCGTTGCTCTCTGTGGGTTGGTTCTTGCAGACACGTGCTGGTAAAGGCCAGCTCTTGTCACCCTGTAGTCCAGGCACTGAGTCTAGTCCTGTCTGCTAACCCACTGTGACTGGTTCATGTCGCCTGTAGGGACAGTCTTGGTCTCGGTGAGAAACGGAGGCAGGAATGAGAAAAGATGGACAAGACAAAAGCTGGGCTGCGTGGTGGCTGGTCTGCCTGGTTGGTGAGACAAACTCACCTGCAAAACAAAGTGGTCATTTATTTATACCTTTGCAGAGTCACTAATCTGTGACACCAGGTTGCCTAGAGACGAATAGCCAGCCTTAACCAGACGAGCGATTTATGTCAGGCCTGAGGCAGCCTGTCTGCTTTAGGCCCTGGGGCCCAGTCCCGCCTCCTCACCTTTGACCGATTCCCCAGCTTCAGTGGCTCCCAGTCTCACCCCTTCTCCCTGTGGGGCGGACTGCCCAGGCACACCGGCCTGTCCCTGGCTCGGGGGCTGAACTTGGGCGTTGGGGGGCTGCTTCTTGCAGCAGCGTGTCCCCGGGGCAGGGCGTCTGCCCTTGGTGCAGCAGGGCTCAGCGGGCTGGGGCTGCAGACATCCCGCTTGCTGAGGAGCCGCACATGGCAGTGCCGTCCTGCCAGTCTCGGCCAGGCTTCCCGTGCTGCCCTTCAGCCAGGCTGGCCTGCCAGGGCCGCACACTTACGCCGGGGCGTGCCTGCTGCAGTCCAGAAGTGAACACTCCTGGGGCTGGAGTGATGGCTCAGTGGAATAAGCGCTTCCCTAGCAAGCGCAAGGGTCTGAGTTCAATCCCCGGTTCCGCAAAAAAAAAAAAAAAGAACAGAAGTGAACACTCCTGATGTGGGTCTCAACAGTGACTGTTTTTTGAGAAGCACAGAACATTCATTACAGAAGGTTGGGACAAGAAAATAGGATGAGGGGTGAGCTGCAGTTCCTCAGAGTCCCCTCCCAGTGCTCTGTCTTGTGCCGTTTCCGTGGTGTCTAGGGTCCTGGGAGATTTACCTCAGCGCCTACTCTCCCATCCTGCCTGCCTGGGAAGTGGGGCTTGCTGGCCGAGGGCGGGCGATTCCTTCGGTGGATGCAGTCTGGGTTCTTTTTGCATATACTGTTCCCATTTCTGGTCATTAAATGGCTGCAGGACCTCCTGCTGCAGTGACCCTTTCTCATCCTGGTCTTCAGCGCAGCTTGTGTCTTTGGGGACAGGTGGCTGGGCATCCGGCCGCTGCTCATCAGCATGTCCTTTGCTCTGCCTTTGGCTGGCGCTGGCTGGCCACAGCCCCCGCCCGCCACCCGATTGCCATCTGCATCCCTTCCTCTTCAGTTCTGTCCTCACTCCGGCCCCTTGCACCCCGTGTGCGATCTTGGGCTGATCTTCACCTGCGGCATCCGTGCCGGGCTCTCTGCGGAGCTGGGTGCGGCTTGAGAGCACCTGCCCTTCTGTGCACGCTGCCAACCCTCATTTCTTTTAAGTCACGGGTGTGTTTGAAACCCAGAAGCTAAGAAAGCGCAGGTCAAGTGCAGAATCTTGGGACCAGAATCCCACTGCAGCAAGGCTGACGCAGGAGGACCGCAAGTTCGAAGCCAACCTGGGGGTTAGTAAGACCCTGTCTTCAAATGAGAGGAGGTCTGGGGATCTGGCAAGGGATGCATCCTTGCCCGGGCATGCCCAAGGCCCTAGACTCCATTCCAGCCTTGACAACAGTAAAGACAAAGGTCCTTCCTCACGTGAATGCTCGTCTGTGCGCCTTTTCGTAACCGACTCCCTTTCTCAGGGCTTCGCTGGTCTCTGCCGTCCTCCGGAGCACATTGCGCTCCCTGTTGGGAGGCAGTGGGAAGTCGGGCCCGGTGTCAGTGAGGACCAGTCCTTTCTTGTTGAGGCCGCCTTCTCACAGGCACTGATGTGGCTTTCTGAGGGTTTGCTTTCTGAGACTATAAACTGGTTTCTCGAGGCTGGTGTCGGGGAAGTACCAGGAGGGTTTTCCTGGCATGCATGGAACAGAGCCTATTCCCTCTAGCTCCAGTCCTGTCAGGGTCTTCTCGCCCCTGAGAGGCTGCAGGTCCCTGCAGTGCAGGTTGAGCCCCCGACTTAGGGTCCAGACGCTCGACACAGCTCCAGCCTTGGAGCACTTGGACTCAGTGCTAGAGACCACACAGCCCCAAACAGTGTGCAGGCCCAGAGGCGGAGTCCCGGATGTGGGGCCGTCCTCTGGGTAGCCCTGTCACTGAGGCAGTCGGGTGCGGCACAGACCGCTGACCGGGGCAGGGCCTGACCCTTTGTGTGGCCACTCGTGGGCTTTTTGCTAGGAGGCGTTATGGTATCATGCGTCTACCTTTTTATTTTTACGTATACTTTTTGCAGTGTTGGGGGTGGAGCCCAGGGCCTCGTGCCTGCTGGGCAAGCGCTCTGCCCCTGAGCTAACCCCAGCCTTCCATGACGTGTTCAATGGCAATGTCTAGGAAACCAAGGTGGAATGTCTACATTTTCCAACTCAGTGGTGGTAACTGCCCCAGGGCCTGAATGCATGCACGAGTCTTTTCTTTGGCTGATTATTTCCTCAGGTGAGGTTGTAGGCCACCGTGTAAGTTGAGGCGATTTTCAAGTCCTCATGGTTGCCACCAAATGGCTTTCTGGAGGCTACAGTGTGAACACATACAGGTCAGCTGCCACCTGGCCTGTGGGACAGCTGTTCTCTGTTTCAGATCTGCCGGATGGTGTGCAGGGCTGGCATGGGCTGTGGAGTTGGGCTGCATTAGCGCTGTGTGAGCGCAGTCCGTGTGTGTGTGCGTGTGTGCGTGTGTGTGTGGTGCTGGCCCCGGCCCTGGCCCCGGCCTTGCACACACGGTGAGCACTGCCAGTGTGCCACACGCTCCTGGCAGGAGCTCTTTGGCCTTGCGTCTGGGTGCAGAGGCCGTGTGGCACGGGGGCTCTGGGCCCAGTTCTGCTGTCTCCGCAGCCTTTGAAGACATGCTGGAGAACCCGCTGAACAGCACGCAGTGGATGAACGACCCTGAGACGGGCCCCGTCATGCTGCAGATCTCCCGCATCTTCCAGACGCTGAACCGGGCATAGGCGGCACGGCCCTGCCCGCCTGTCTGGCCGCAGCCTCCCCAGGTGAGGCGCAGGAAACCACGCCCAGAAGCCGTCTCCAGCTCGAGGGCTTGGGTCTCCAGTGCCACGGCGCTCTCCCTCCCTGCCTTACTGCTCAGAAACTCCTGCCACAGCGAGCTGTGCCCCCAGCTTCCGACGAGCTCCTGCAAGGGCTGGCTCGGTGGGTGGTGGCCAGCGCCCCCAGGCGCTGTGCTGGGGTCCAGAGTGCTCCTAGACGCGCCTGTGCGCTGCTGCCGAGCCTGCTTGTTCGTGACTGAAGGCGTGTCCGAGCCAGCGTTGTGCCCAGCGAGCTGCCGTGCCCAGCGGGTCGGTGGCTTCTGTAATAAACCGGCCCTTTCCTACTTTCTGCCCGTGTACTCCTTCAGGGCCCGGGAGGTGCCGCCGGCCTCCCGAATGCACCCCCGCACAGGCGTTACTGCCACCTCCAGCCTTGCTGGCAGCGTGCAGGGTCTGGGGTGGCGACCTGGAGCTACCGTGCCTCCACGTCAGGGACGGTGGTGGGGCAGGACATGGCCACCCTGCCTTCCCTGCTTCCCTTGTCCCTTTTCTCCCCTGAGCATTTTTGGGGTTTGGAGACAAGAAGGTGAGTTTCGCTCTGAGTCCCGCTCCTGCCACCACTTGCAGCACCCCGCCTCAGCCCACCCTCTGTGGTACGCCGGCTGGGGCCTCGGCTGAGCCGTCCTCTCCCAGCTGGTCACTGCGCTGAATGCGGTACCACTTGCTGCTCTGACACAGCTGCCTCAGCCCTGTGCCAGCCCTCGGGGCAGACTCTGAGGAGGCTTGGGTCAGGGCTGAGACGCGGGCCACGCTGGCCCAGGATCCCCAGGCTTCTGCGTGGAGTTGCCCAGGGGCTTAGGAGGCGGCGTTTTCTCAGGGTGGGAGCCTTGCCTGTGGGCTGCTCCTGAGAGCTGGTTGCACCCTGCTGATGTGGTCTGGGGGTGGTGGGGCTGCCCCC